ATGTATATATATATAGCATACCGTGTAAGACCAGAATGAAAAAATAGCTATAGCTATAACCATAATACGACTTCTGCCCGACAATGCCCGCAGGTGCCTCCTTACTGCCCGCCGCCCCAGGAACAACACAGCGCCGTTTTGTGTCCGAGTTGTGACGTGCTTTATTCTCTTGTTCTGCTGTCGTCACACCAACTCCCGTATTTACAATAGTGTACATAAGTCAGGATTCCCTCTATCATCCCCTCTCCCACCTTTACTTTATTCAGTATCTAACAAGAGTTTATATTGGTAGCACCCCTTCCCTTTCTTCGATACCCCATCTCCCACTTCCTTCTTATCAGGGGGTTCCCATCTTGCGAAACGATGCATCGTTTGCAAATTTTTCTCGCAGATAGTTTTTTTGCATTATCTTTTGCTGTCAGTTTTTGTTTGCTCTTGAACGCCGTTGAACTACTGCATGCCACTGTGAGGCTCTTGTATTTCATCCTGCAGTGCGTATTCCCCCATTAAATCCAAAGCCGCCTGATTGTCTGCGACGGCGGCGGCGGCAATGGCCTCCTGACTTTGATGAAAGCGCCCAGCCACTCTTGCAGCAGCTTCATTTAATGCTGCATTCGCTTCCTGCCTTCGGGCTGGCCCAGCCTCTATCATCGGTTCTTCAACCGCGGCCTCGGCGGACGCCCCGAGTAAACGCTGGTGGCATCTTGCTCTTACACTGCCATGGCCATGCGACGAACTCGATGCAGACGTGGAGTCAACACCGCCATCATCTGGAGAGCCCTGGCCGCCATCTGCCTCACCTACGGTCGAGTCGACGTCCGCTGAACTTGTCGGTTCTCGGGGATCCATCAGTGTTCGCGAATGTGGAGTAGCTGCCACAGCCTCGGAACTACTACCTATTTCATCCTGCATACCATCATCAACAGCAGCATTGTTATGGCGGCTTAGTAACAACATGTCCGGTCGAACCAAGGGGCCGACGACTTGAAGAGAAGGCCGTGGTGGTTCTACCACATTTGGTAAAAGTTGTGCTGCTGCAGCCACTACAGGTGCCAATGCTTCTGCTTCTACTTCACGATGAAGTGGCTCTTCCTGTGCTTGTTCTAGTTGTGCTGGCTCAACTTCATGGTGACCCGGAGGAGGTTGTGCGTTAGCCATGCCTGCCTGAATTGCCGCTACCGGAACCGCTTCCTGAACTTGTTGTACGGCTTCCACTTGGGGTTCAACTACCGGCAGTTGGTGTTCAACGACAGGGGGTACTACCGCAACTGGCGGATAGTTCGGGATCTGATGCTCCAAAACGCTTGCGTCCTCAAGCTGAGCATTGTTGTGTTCAATTACAGGCTGTGGTTCGTACGGGTTTTCGATTTGATTTTCAGCTGCTATACGATGGTCATCATTTTGATCAGGCTCCGCTGCAGGAATTAACTGATTAACTTCTTCAACAGCAGGAACAACTGGTTGATGTTGCTGTTGTTGAACTGGATGCTGTATTTTATCTCCATTGTCCTCTGGAACAGCCTGCTCGGATCGTAGAGCCGGTGGATCAACACTCGCTGGGACAGCGGCCACTTGTACTGTGCAAAGAGACGGACCTGCTGCAACATGCCCCGGCGATTCCAGTAGAATTTTAGCAGCCGCTTGGGAGTCAAAACTAGGGCCAGCCCGTTGATCGTCTCGCAGTTCTGCTTGAGGTAAGCCTTTCTCGACCAAATTATCATGAGGCAGGTCTTCTCCCGCTCCAGCCCCGTGGATGGCCTCAAAAGCACGCTCAACATCATCAATCTCCTGACTCCGCGTTCCTTCAGCTGCTGTCGCTGCCTGCATTGTGACCGGTGCTGCCGCTGCTGTTGAAGCAGCTGCAACGGACAGATAAGACGAGGCCGACGGGGAATTGTTGTGCTCGTGGAAACTCGAAAGCGCACCCGGCTGTGTTCTCTGGGGCGGCTCAGGCTCTTGTGCAACAGGCGGCTCGGTGTTGTCTGCCTACAACCCGACACGCAGAACAACAAAAACAGTTGTTATTCTGCTTCGCAGTTATTATGCGTTCAAAATCGAATGGATTCTCTATACACCTAATGGACAGAAATGGGTAGATGTATTAGGCTGCTATTGCCTAGCATCGATAGTTCCAGGCCTCATTTATAGTAGGCAATAGTTAATACAAACAAAACTGCCGCGGAAACGCATAAACGTTGACAAATTTTCGATTCTAGTGCACATCAAAGTGATCGTTTCATCGAATTAAACATTTGAATCTTAGTGCACGCAAAATATTAGCAATAGGAACAAATATTACGGTTTTCCAGCGGGTCGATGGTGACGTAAGATTTACCGCTCCACATCGAACAAGTAAAAACGGAGTATATGGCACCGAAAGAAACGTTACTATTGCACTGCATAAGACTGAATATTACGGTCACAGTCGCTGTCAACAGTCTTTTTAAATTTTCCAACTGATCACAAATATATGTAAATACACAGCTTCTTATTAGTTCATGACCCATTCACCTGAGTAGGCCATCTTAGGCCCGACATATCAAGCATTCATGGTACTAGCGAACTGACACTCGAATCTCTTAATTGATTCCATATAGAAATGCTTGAAAAAGCCTGGATGTTTCGCCGAATGCTCATATCACACGATGTAAAAAATTGTCCTAAGTCGTCGAGTGCTCGCACAAATATAAGAAATGTGGCAACTACGAGATGGAGACGAACCATCATACTTCCGTAATTTTCCAAAGCAGTGAAGCCATACTAAAGAGCCATACTAAAACCCACAAATAGGCACAAGCAAGTTAACATTCGAGCAGTCGCTGAAATCATCGCATATATCTATACTTACCAACTATAGTATGCGTCTATTTGATAAGTAGACAAGAAGTTTCGATTATTTTTGTTGTATAATGTTATTTTTATTTGGGAGTGGCTTTTTAGAGTTTCACTCGGAGAATGATACTAAATGGCTATGCCAAACATCTAGCTCTTTATCCTCCACTTGTTTTGCCCATTAGATTATATGATTCTGAATAAATAACAAGAAATCATTTTAGAAAAATATCCGATACATACTGCATTGGTTTTCGGAATCAAATGGTCAAAACGATCGTACACTCTTTAAATGATTCATTCATTCTACTTCAATGTCATTTTGTTTGACATAGGTGAACATTTCTTAAACCGTGATCGCCAGTGCTTCGTTTCATTGCGCAGCAAACGTTGCTAGATACTAGATCCAGTTGCATAACTACCTGTTCCAAAGCCTCAAGGATGATTGACCGATTCGTGTCGCCTTCCTTGTACCTATCGGTTTTACGGACCTCAAGGGTCCCTCCTGCCGTAGGTCGGGTGTGCTTCAATAAAATTTGTTGCGCTTGATCCAACACTGTTTGCAAAAATGTTTCAGCAGCCGCCAGAGGAATAGATACCTCAACACGGTTACGACAGTTCGGATCCTGAAATTTAAAAACGAATCACATACGAAACCGACAAGCATAGATATGGAAACAAACGAATTACTAAAACAGGAATCCATCGCTAGTGAATCAGTAATACATATAAAATGTTTGGAGGTTATTCAATTTAACATTCCAATTAAGTGGGCTCATACTTGCGTTTTCACAGATTTCAGACAATGCCTGCAATAAAATCAGCTTCTTTACGCAGATAGATGTAAGCTGACAGGGCTACTGCAACTGAATCTGTCGTGCAGATTCAAATTGGTTATTTTACTGAAACGATATTTTCGAAATATTATAAATTCAGTCGTATTAAAAAAATGATCTTAAAGCACCACTTGCTATTACTACATTACGTAACACTATACATGAGTTATGATTATCAGTAGCATAACACTGACAAGTCTTCATCGAGTCTAAATAATAGTCTACTTGCATTATGTTGTTTATTGACAGTTAGGTCGATGACGTTGATAGATGTTTGTAGACTTAAGCCATCAGGCCGCGAACGACAGTTATTTTGAATATGCACTTCACTCTCGAAATAAAATTTTAACTGCAACCTTCATTCGTAATTTTTTATTCTCATATATTGTTGCGCTTACCTGGGTAATGGTTGCCTTCGACGGTAGGCTGCCATCCTTAGGTCTGTGCGTCAGCGTGACTACAGAGTTTTTCTCATGAGGAACTTTTTCTGCTAGATGTCGCTGCATATGCAACGAGATTTCTTTGATACTATCAAAGACCTGTCCACATTCTCCACACTTGTTTCTTCCCATTCCGACTGAATTTGTGCTGTTTCCTGTCCCAGGTTTACCTGCGTGCCCGGCTAAGCTATTCATCCCCGGGCGAAGCCCCTTTTGCGACAACAGTAATTTCTTTCGGGCGCCTTCAGGCCCTGAGGGATCCGCCCCCGCCGCCTTGCGTTTTCCAACGGTGTCAAGTTTGCGCGCGACATGAACAACTTTGGTTAACGCTGCAAGAAGTAAAACAACGACGACCAAATTGGTGCTCACCATGTTAGCGTCATGTTGATAAATGATTGCGCCTTTGGTAGCGTATTTACTGTATTAATCGTAATTAATTAATGTGATGGCACCAGTTGATATCCAAATAGTTCAAAGTATTGTTCGTACAGCACCCACGTTTAAACATAATTCCTCCCAATAATAGGTTATTTTTTCTTAGGAGAATTCGAAAAAAATCTTGAGATTCTAAAAACAACCAAGTTTCCTGTAAAATCTATTCTTTGCAAACTTAATGATAAAACTATTTCTGATACACGATTTGCTGTTGGAATCATCATGTACACATTCAAGGTGTGCTCAAACGAGTGTATTCGCAGTACCTAGTAAGTATTTATGTGTACGTGGCAGCAAAGCGGGATCGGGACAGCGAACTGTCTTGAAATCTTTGGGACGCGTTGGCAGTCCGTAAAACCCGATCGTTCAAAGCATATAAAGAATTTCTGAACACTATTCACATCGCATCATCAGATATGTTCGTGGTCTGCCAAAGATTCAACACTCTCTTAGGAAAGAACAAACTGAGAAAAAGAGATAATTTAATAACGACGTTATTATTACTGATGTTATCAACGCTTGCTTAGCTGCTTAAGTAGACTTATCAAGTTTGTCCAATGCCAGGCAGTGTGCCTACTCGTGAGCTGTTGTTGCGTCAAAATTTTCTGAGGAAGAACTGAATGTCGTTCGGCTTAACTAATCACCCCGCGGATTTAGCTCGCGGGATGAGTATCTATATAGACGAGATGATGGTATCACAGCAACTGTTAGGCTTAGATATCTAGTGCAAAATAAAAAATAGTACAATAATCTACGTATCATACGTACGGTCAACGACGATTGTATTTGCCTTCGGTGGTGGACTTTCTGGAAGGTCCCATGTTCCAATGTAGAGTTCGATATTTTCCCCTAAAACAGACCGAAATGGGAACCACTTTAGTTGTCTGTGATAATCCAGCTTGCGAAATTAACACGTTTTTAAGGACATTAACAACAGTACGCCGCAGAGGACCATAGGTATTTAAAAAATTACAGAAATCTATATATATATATGTATATATATAGTACTATATTTATTTTCATATTTTAGTCTACTAAACGATTGCTAGTTACTTTAATCAAGAATTTTTTGCGAGCGGAATCAGCAAACTAATTTTTTTTCGTGATTCACATTCGGTACTCTTACTACTAGGCATTGCTTCATGCAGCTGACTCCCTTCCGCATGGAATAAAATGTGCCTCTGCCCGAATTCAAACCTAGACCGCCACGTGTTTCTAAGTTTAACAGGCAAACACCTTACCCACTGCGTTATCGCGCAGTGAAAATGAAATTAATAGCCTCAACGACTTGAAAATGCTGAAATTAGAGAGATACATCATGTATTTTTTACTGCCTTGAGCTCCCAATTCTAGTAATAGTAAGCAGTAGTGGTATCGGTTGTAACAAGCAATTTTCTACAAATTTATGCGTGTCCGTTTATCCCGATCTCTTCCTTGCTTGTGTGTGTGTGGGCGCGTATGACACGTTGCTTCCCTTCACAGCTATTACCTGTTTGGTGTCATCGTTATCGTCGTCATATGTGTATTGCTCTGTCGTTCCGTGTGCTATGCTTTGGCAGGGAAGGCAGCAGGTAAGCGAACTGGTGTGCGCGCCAGAAACTGCCTCAGCGAAATAACACACTGTTTCGGAATAAGGTTCGTTAGTCCACTTTTTGTAATAGTTGTAATAGTTCTAGTAGATGCTGCAGCGGTTAAAATGCCATTGGTTTTAGTCAGGTCATGCTAGCGACATAGCGTAACATAACTGATTGTTGACTCGTTGTAGCGGTTGTCGCTACGATGGTTGTACACTGGGAGGTTAGTGCCCGAGGATATGGCTCTAGCGGCAGCCGTCACCATCGGGCGGGCAGACGGGCAACTGCAGCAGTCATATAGCGGCCGTCGCCGCAGCAGCAGCTGCTGATACTAAAACTACTAGTCGATTGGTTGGTTCGTCGGCTCGTTGGCTTATGGTTTGCTTTCCGTTGCTGTTACCACCACTGCTACCGCACTACTGCTAGTGTTCACTCTTCTTGGTTCGGTCCTGCTGACTCTCCTGTTTATACGACGGTTTAGCGTTCAATGACACCAGCACCGAACACAACATAGCATTAGCAAAAAGTCGTCGGGGAGAATCAACCCAAACAGCGAGAAGGCTGGAACTACCACCATCGGCCCACCACACAGCGGCCATATCTCTGGCGGAAACAGAGTAGCTAAATTGTATGACGCTTGTTGTTACCCTATAATGGCTAGCGAGAAAAGTACTGAAGGTAATGCTAGTGGTAGAAGAAGCAATAATAGTAGGAATAGAAACAGTAACATACAGCCCTAGCAGATGCCCACCGCGCGCGTCCACTCTGCATTCGACCAGTCAATATTGTATGTGCCACATAGACTCCACGTAGTAGCTCGCCAATTCAGGACGTTCACGGTTAGCGAGAGTGGGTCGCCGGTGATGCCAGCATAAATCTCATCTGTATGCCTAGACTAAACTGCTCAATGTATTTATTAGCGGCGTTTTTGCGTTGTAACAGAACATCGGCGTTTGGTGCAAAACGTCGCAACCGCAACAGTAGTATAACACATGCCAGTAATTATATTTGTACTGTCTTCAAACTGCTTTTCAGTAACTACGCATGTCAATTTGTTTCATTCTTCTGGTTTGGTATCACTTAACAAGCGTGGTTCGTCGTAAATAAAGTAAGCAAAATTATTCGAATTTCAAGAGATCCAAATCGGTTTGAATATCTGTTTGTTTTGGGCACGATTATTCTTGGTATCGTCCACATCCTGGTGGCGCGTAAACAATCAAATCCATGGAGGAGGAAGAGGGGAGGTGGAAGTTCCTCTACTGATATAGGGAAGTGCGTTCTATATATATATATATATATATATATATATATATATATATATGTAGTAGATACACATGCATATCTAGAGTTCGATAAAGACGTTCGTTTAACATATCCATAATTCTGTTCGACGGCAACGAGTATCGCAACTATGCTTATATTAGTGATAATACACTTCGATGGCAAATAACATCTCACGATTCACGTTGAAACCTGTAAACCTGTCAAGCACATTACACATGCTAAGTGGTATCGGAGAAAAGAAGCTCGTGACTCTTTCATGTTCCACATTTCCCAAAAAACTTGTAATTACTACATGTGAGACACCCTCAGGTGGCGATCGCTACTGCAAAACACATTGTGACAATTCTAGTCGGCCTACTTCACATTCACAAACATACACTCGTAAACTACCTTACTCAGTTTTGCCATACGGATCTAATGCCTGAACTTTTGAGGCAAATACGTACCGGGTGCTATACCCTGCGGGAATGCTAACGACGTGACAAACGGCGAGTGCTGCGCGTCAATGCACACCCGTACAACCATTTTGCCGTACGCGCCGCAGCAGTAGCAGCAGCCGGAGCGACGGGAGAAGCAACAAAAAACGAGAACCCAAATTTGCCTCTAACCCCCACCTCCTGCGTCAAGGAATTCACTGTCCTTGGCGATCTACACCTTACAACTAACGATGAGTTTTCGCCTTCCTAGAGGCAGCACTGACAGTAAACAACCGCGTGCCTCTTTATTCCGCCCCTGTTGTTCCCTGTGCCCAAGCACTGTACCGCCACCGCGGACTGGCGAAGTTCTTGCGTCGCTGTTTGCCTGTATCCTGCCTATCGGACGCCGCGTTGTCACTCGCAGGTCGATGCTCGGAGACAGCTATAGATTAGAAACGGCAGCGCGCGTTCTTCTATAATAAATCTGTGCACGCGGTCTTGATACCGATCGGATGTTTGGCGTCAAGTTCGGAATTTGATCGTTTTGCTGTCGTAGTTGGTATAGCATATACTGCAGCTGTAGTTGACAGTCACACTGCTGCCGGCAGTGACGACGATGTTGATGATAATGGCACCCTTGTTGTTCTTGTAATAGTAGTTGCTGTTGTTGTCGAAGGTCGTCGTTGCTGCATGGAACAGCAACAAACAACAGCGGCATGTCTTGACGTCGTGTGTTGTACCCACACGAAGCAAATAGGTTTACAGCAAGACGGGGCAAAGATGAGATGACTAGCGGACAATAATCGACAGTTGTATACACATGTTTGCAGTCTAGAATTATTGGTTTCGCTTATTAGGTATACCCCTAGTTCATGGCTTGCACTAACTTGATTTGCTTACACATTGTCAACAAGCTAACCGTGCCAATTAATCACTCTCGTAAAAGAGCTATATTCCCATACGAGTGTCAGCAGCAACAAATAACCCATTGTGCCAGAAACCTGTACCCTGCCATGTAGTCTAGTCGAGTCCCGATCTGTCTAGCTGGACGGGGCACGGTGGCAGCGTAAGACAGAGGCAGGACCCACTAATGTAATGTAACTCTCACAACCCAAGCCACAAATACGGACACTGGTAAAGGCGAGCCAAACGAACTACACGTCAAAAGGAGTGACAATTTATTCTCAATTCCTTGGTGCCTGGACGCTTCGTTGGAGAACGGTTAAATAGGAGTGCTGACCCCTGTTACAACAAAATAACACAACTTAAAGTAGTACAACACTTAACAGCAGGAGGCCAGCGGGCCGTTGTCTTTGCCCGCTGAGCACACGCTCGTTTGCAGTCACCACAACTACACCTTCTCGGCTTGTTTGGTGCTGTCTGCTGCTGCTTGGCAGTAGTATGCTTGCTGTCAATGCGTCCTGGGAATAGAGACGCACGACAATGCTACTCTGCAGAAGCCGAGAAACAGCACAAGGAGGAGAGAGGCGGGCGAGCGGTGGCTAAGAACAAACACA